CACACACACACACACACACACACACACACACACACACACAGAGGCTGACTGGCAGGGCGTGTAGTTCTCCACAGTGAAGCTGTATCACAGCTGCTGTTGAGGCACTACAGGGTCCAGTCACCTGGAGCAAGTGTTGATTAATGACCTCAGTGTAGCGGCACTTCCCTTGATGGAAATCCCTCTTTACAGTAGTTTATATGAAAATGATTTCACTATATTTTCTACTTGCTGCTTTTGATTGTCACTGCAGACACAGCTGCATATAGATTAAACTATACTGCAGGGGTCATTAGAAAATCTTGATTCTGATTCCCAAACACGAGGAGGGATCTGAAAAAGCAGCTGAATATTATGCGCCAATGTGCTTTCCAGGTCTGAGTTTCTTTCTTTCTTACATTATAAGGATCCTATTATTCCTTCCCTTCCCTCTAAGTATAGGCCTACCTTATGTCCAAATGACACTGCAGTGGCCCTTGTATGCATCCCATTTCCTCCAAGGAGACCTTATTCTCAATACATATTTCCTTGTGCTATATAGGGCGTATCTCGCATCTGGTTTATAGAAACCATACTTTCAGGCAAGCACAGCTATGAGGGAAACCTTGAACAATACATCCCTTTATCCAGCTGGGGTCTGTAGCTGAACAAATTGCAGGAAAGACCAGTAAGTTCACGCTGGATCACCGAGCATACAATCATGATAGCAAAGAGGTGACTGTGACATTCCCTAAAGCATTAAAGAAAGCCTCATGGGATCACTGGACTGAGTGGGTATAACCAAACGTGGTGCACTCTGTGACTTCTTGAATGTGAGCGCTAATGAAAAGTGACTAAAGGGTTGCTGTAGTGGAATCTGACAAGTGTCCAGAAATAGTCTGCTAATAAATCCCGTCCCCTCGGGGGCAAACCTTAGCAGTGGTTCAGTCCTGTAAAATGACGCTGTGAAAACACGGAGTAAAGACTTGATTAGTCTATATAAGGAATTGCCTCTTGCTCTGAAGGAGAAAGCCCTCATTGAAGAGCTGTTAGCTGGCATGTAAACTTAAGGCTTTTACAGGAACACCTAATTGCAATTTTAAGCTATGAGGTCAGTCTGAGCTATTTTTACATGTATTTACGTAATAATCTCAGCATAGTTATCATATGACACAGGCTGTATTTTAGGAGTGGACATATTATAAAACATCTCTCTCTTGGTTTGTGAGAACACAACTTTGGTCCATTCTGCTGTATAAATAAATAAAGAGCGTCTCAGTAAGCTTACAGTAAAGGAAATATTTTCCAAAGTGCTTAAATATGTTCAACAGGGACTTTCTTAGTTCCTCTTTCCTCCCCAGTATATCCATATACAGAATAAGCTAAATGAATCACTGTGGGAAAATAACTCAAGCTAGTCAACATGTTGGGTTGCCATGACACTCAGTTGCCAATAATGAGTGTAAAGTTGGCCAAAAAAGATGACTCAATAAGAAACTGCAAAAAGCAATTGAAGCTCTCTCAGCTGAGAGTTAA